AACATAAACATATCTTTTTGAGGGTGAGAGTTCACACTATCACAAGTTATACTGTAAAAATAGGCAGTGACATAAAGAAAATACATGCAGTTTTAACATACTATAAAACACAAAACATTAGCAGAAAGACCAATGCCCCAACACCCTTATTCCCCTGACCCGTTATTTCTGCTTCCTCTCCTGTCCACCAGAAATAGTGTAGTTTCTGAAATATCCAATTCCCACCATTACCAGTATTACCAGCAATACTCCCTTGCTCTTCGTTAGAGTTGGACCACTTCTAACTACCTCATTAAGTGATAAGGCTTAGTTCTGCCTAATTTGAAACTTTTGCATAACCTGAATGTTCCTGAATGGATTCTTTTGTTCCTTGTTAGCTTATTGGTTAGCGTGTGACAGTCAGGCGTGGTTCTGCAGTCAGCATTTGTTTTGCTGTGTAGTGTGCCACACTGTATCATTGCATAATTCATGAGCTTTGTGGATATTTCATGTTTTAATCGCTATGATTAGATACACATTTTAAAATGTGTATTCTAGGTCACACGTGTAAAACTTCCTTTCTTAAGTAAAATGTACCCAGAAGTACAATAGTTGGGTCATTAGAGCATGCATACTAGCAATATCAGTATGTTGCATTGATCTGTTTTCCCAAATTATTTACTGCCCCAGCAGTAGAGAAGGTGGGTTCCTCTACTTCTTCTGTGAAGGTTTCCCTTTTTACTAGCTTCCTTTCTAATCTTCCTCATCTGTCTTTTTCTTTCTTGTTCTTGTGTGTAAGTTGTTAAATTCATCTGTTCTACTGGTATCATTTGCCTCTGTTGAGCAGTGTTTGTGAACGGTTAGCACAGCCTTCCTGAGCTAGATCCACATAAAGAAATACTGGGATTCTCTCACTAACAGAGCTAGTGAAATAGATAGGGTGTTTCTTACCTGTTGGGCTTCCAGGGAAATTCTAATCTTCAGTGAGTGGCTTGAGTAGATAAAGCAACCATCAGGGTTGCATGTTGCCTTGTGATGCTGCATAAAGCCCCATTAGTATCTGTCAGCCTCTTGTTGCCCTGGCAGGGTAGGCGGCTGTGTCCTCTGACCCCCACATGACATTTTGATAGCTTTCCTTTCATATCACACACTGGTGAGAGCTTTTGTTCTCTTCTCAGCTAGAAAGGTTACCTCTCAAACATACTGCCTAGGATGAATTATGTCTCTATTGATTTGCACTCTTGTCTCAACCACAAATTTCAGGGTGTGTTTGAGGGCAGCACCTATTTAAAAAAAAAAAAAAAAAAAAACAGATCAGTGAAAGCTAAAGCCCTCTTCATTTCTCCTACATTGTTGTAGTTCACATCCAAGATTCCAGCAGTGTTGTTCTGCATGAATGTAATGGGACGTTGTCTTCAGAATGGCCTGAAATGAAATTCATCTGTCTTAAAAAAGGAATCATTTCATACTAAGGATTCCATCTGTTCTATATAGAGGGATAATCTTTCTCCTTTAATATAACTCTGGTTGTTTCTTTTGAACTAAAACCCTAGTCTTTATACCTTAGGTTACATTTTTAAACATTACATTAAATAATAATGAGATATTCGTCTAGGTCATTTTTCATCTGTGAAACACACATATATGCACACACCATTAGATTCGATTAATATTGTAATTTCTGCTTTTGTCCCTGACTCTTTGCTTCACCTTGGTGACTGCACATCTTATACTGAATACACTATTCCAAACAGTTCACTAGTAGAATCTTTAGGCTCCAGAAATTGTCATGGCAGACTAGGAGTTAAGGAGTAGTGTTTTAAAGCAAAGGAGAGCTTCAAACCAGCCCATGTCTATTAATATAGAAGCTCATGATCATTAATAAATATCTGCCAAATACAGCCCAAGGCATTGTACTTGTGTGGCTACATTATGATCTTTTAAAAACTCTAAAACATGATTCTTTATTAATGAAAATAAGTAGAGGAACTGCTTCAAATCAATTTATTTTTGTCATAGTTCTGGTAAGGAGAAACACATTTTTAGATCACAAAAGTACTGTGACTCGGTTAAGCAGAGGTTAAGTCAGCAAGAAGTAATTGAATGGAGTTATATCTTTTCCTCTCTGTCAACATCAGCCTCTTTGAATGTTCTGAGAGGGATTTGGCTTTCTAAAAATAACCTTTGCCCTAACACTGTCATACCATGAAGACAGTTGTATTGTTTGGATTGATTTTACCCTCTTACACACCTGACTATACAATAGTTTCTATACTGGTTGAATGATAGGTTTATTGATGGTTAATGTAGTAGTTTTGGTGATCGGGCATCTAGTATGGAAAGAGGGCATGGCATGGTAAGTGTGCCCTGACAGAACTGCACAGCAATAGTTTGAACCTTTGCAGAATAACGAAATCTCCTGAGGAACTTGAGGAAAAAAAGCAAAGAGATAAGGTCTTGCTTACGTCAGTTAGCCTAATCTCCATATTATTTCCCAGTTATCAAAATTATTGTGACACCTACTAAAATCTAAGACAGCTTTATAGCATCCAAGTCAGAAGCCAGAGTATGGAATCAGGCCAGCTTGCATCCAAGTTTTTCTCTAAGTTTTCATTTCTATGTCTGAAGTATGAATATGAGAAGTACTTACACCTAGGGTTGATGTGATGAGAAAATAAATACAAAATACTTAGTATTTTCCTAAAGCATTTAGTTTGCGGGTGGCCATCTCTCACCCTGTAGTAAAATCAAATCAAAATGTATCAAAGACTTAGATATTAAAACAGAAATATTGAAACTACTGTACAATATCTTAGGGAAAACACTTGAAACCACAGGCACAGGAAGAGAATAGAATTTTAACAGCATAGTATATAATACCAAAAGTCAATGAGTAGGATTATATTAAATTAAAAAGCCTCTGCACAGCAAAAGAAAAAATCAATAGTGTGAAGTCAAACTATAGAATAGGTATTTTTTTTCCTTCTACTCTTCTGATAGAGGTTTAATATTTAGAACATATAAAGAACTCAACGCCTTTCCAAAAATGGGCAAATAAACTGAACAGATGCTTTTCAAATAGCCAGTGAATACATGATGAAAGTATTTATCATCCAGCCATTAGGAAAGGGCAAATCAGAATAGCTCTGAGGTTCCATCTTACCTAAGTCAGAGTGGCTATCATCAAGAACATAAAAAGCAACCATGCTGGCAAGGATATCAGAAAAAAGGAACCCTTCAACATTATGGGTGGAAATGTAAACTAATATAGCCATTAAGAAGATCAGTATGGAGATTCTTCAAAATACAAAAAAGTGCAAATTCCATTTAAACCAGTCATACTTCTAGATATATTCGTCAAATCATTAAGAACATCATACTATAGTGAAACATGCATATCTATGTTTATAGTAATTCAATTTACAATAGCTAAGCTCAGGAACAGCCTAGATGCCCTTCAGTAGCCAAATGGATAAAGAAAACATAATATATATATATCGCACACACACACACACACACACACACACACACCCCATTCAGTCGAATACCCTTCAGCCATAAACAAAGATAAAATCATATCATTTGCAGGAAAGTAGATGGAACTGGAAACCATAATGTTAAGTCAAATAAAATCACAGAAAGTGAAACATTGCAGGTTTTCCCTTATATGAAAAATGTAAGACTCTTATTCATAAATAAGAGTTAAAAGTGAGACGGTAGGGAAAAAGGCAGATGTATTAGACATGGAAAAGAAGATCATGAGGGGTATCGGTATGGGGTTACTGGGATGGAAATGTGTTCAAGACATGCTATATCCACGTGCCAAAACCCCAAAGTGAGTGTAGCTATGATTTACTGAAAACTAGTAAAACTAATAAAATTATGTTTGTAACCTTTACTATTGATGAAGGTATTTTATGGGCTTAAGGAAATTTTTGAAAATCTAAGTATGTGAAGTAAGTCTATCTTTTACTATGGCTCTGGACCTTCAACTCTAACTTGCTGTAGTCTTCCCACTGTCACAGCCAACCCTGAGGGAGGAGGAGACAGTGTCCTTTTCATCGTCACAGGGGCAAAGGGAAGGTCAGAAATGTTAAAAGAGTACTTGCTACACTTGGTGTTTCCGTGAGAGAGTGAAATAAGTGGTGCTAAGATTCAAGCCTAGTGTTTGTGACAAGGAACCCGATCCTTTTTTAATTATGATCCTCATAAGCCTTTGACGCCCTGCTGAAATATTTAAAGTTACATAGTTTAAATAGGTAGCTAGATAATTCCTGGGAATTTAGTGTCTTGAGATTCTACTCATCGAGACCCATTTTATGGATAGCACTGAGTTTATATGGGGCTTATTTTATTTATGCCCTCTGCAAGAAAAAAAAAAATTCCATTTTGACCTTCAAGTAAATTATATGATGGCACAACATTAAAGGAAAGAGTTCTTAAAATAGCATTACCAGGTCAGTAGATTATATGGTAAAGAATTTAGACTGTGATATAGTGGTTGATCTTGGGCATTTTATTTTCTCCAATCCTCTGTTTTCTTATCTGCAAAAACAAACAAACAACAACAACAACAAAACCGATAGTAACTACCACATAGCTCTTTAGGATAAACAAAAGAAACATCTATGTAAAACACAAAGACTGGTCTGTAGTAAGCACTAAAACATATCACATTTTTATCTTGATAATGGTGAGAGGGATAGTTCTACCCTGGTTTAGTTTACAAGGAATGCAGAATGTGTTGTGATCATCGTCATTTCTAGGTTTCTAATACAAACTACATTGGGAAAGTGTTAATAGGTACGCCACACGTCTACCTGATGTATTGAATTTGGAATGAACCCAGATTAGGCTTATAATATATTATTTGTCTTCTTCTGGTGATACTTTCTTCTGTTTTGATTGCTACAAATGAGCATCTAGTCTACTCAAAGGGAAAAACACCACTGGTCATTTTTATTTCTGGACATACCAACAGTGCCCTGTAAACGCTGACCTTTTCATTTAACTCTGTGTAGGGTTTGATGCCTACTTTACATCCCGCACACTTGAAAACAACAGGAGAAATGTATGGTTTGCTGAATACTGGGAGGAAAACTTCAACTGCAAGCTGACGATTAGTGGGTCAAAAAAGGAAGACACAGATCGCAAATGCACAGGTAATTTCATTCTTCTTGTCCTTTGTCTGTTACTTTACGTGACTGGCATTGACACATCTTCATAGCTGACAGAAGGAAGCTTGGCTGGAGACAAATTGAAAAAGCAAATTGAATTTTACTACATTGTTCAGAAAATGGAACAGGAGCGTAAGTCTCGCAGGACAAGAGAAGTACAGACAAGAATGTATTTTTCTCAGCCTGTCCATCTAGCAGTAGTTGACATTTTCACTCATTCTTTGAATTCAGAAGGGGTCTTGTTGCTTTGAATGCTCTCACTAATAAATATTAGTTTATGTTCTAGGCAAGACTATGAAGTCATTTTTGCAAAGACCAAAAACCTCTGAGAAATACCATACCAGCACCAGATTGAACTGTTACCATGGATGGTATATTTGACGGAGGAAACAAAGTGCTTGCTTGAGTTTATAAGAATGAGAATCCCAAAAGATTTCCATAATGTCTAAGTGAATGAATGATTTTCTATTTAAAATGTTTTAAAATATTTTTCATACATGTCTTTGTATAATTATCCCAAATGAAAAATGTATGTAAGTAGAAGGAAAACCATCTATTCATTCATTTATTTATTTCCAAATATTTATTAAACAACTTTCTTTCTGCTAAGCCATGTTCTAGGCCACACTGCGAACCATTTAGAGACTGAGTGCCCAAACCCATTTACGTGTTATAAAGTGCAAAAGCTACAATTAAACCTGAACACTGAGGTTTTAGTTTAGAAAAACAACTCGTACATTAATATCTTTTAAAAGAAAAACATAATAGCAGAGCTTTCGGTGATGTAAACAGCTTTTTATTGAAAGGCAAAAGTTTGCATTTGGCATGCTTTTACACTTTTAACGGAATCTTTGCTGTTGTGTGCATACTGATAATTTGTCAAACCTTGGCTCATACTTCGGTACAGAGCAATACATGCAGCACTCAGGTCAGCCTGTTTCTTATATCAGATTGGATTTAATTCAAAATTGAAAACAGCTGCTCACAAGCATAGGATGATCCAAAAAAAAGTAAGAAAAGCAATCTGAAGTGCTTTCATTGACTTAAAATGATTTGACAGATTTCCATATTTTTGAGGACTTTATTTTCAAAACTGCGTTGCAGATTTCATGATGACTTGTAAGATCGTCTGCAAATACTGTAGAATTTTCTAAATGCATCATTAAATTTGGAAAATATTTCAGTTGCCCACTTTCAAGGTCTGTTTTAAAAACCGGCAGTTTTCTCTCAAATGTTTTGATTTCACAAAACATCCTTTCTGCTGTTTTCCTTCATCTTGTAGTTTTTTTATTCATCACACTGAAATGTAGTATAAAATCTGTAAAAATCATGAGTTTGTTAAGCCAGGCCATATTGGTCAGCTCTGGCTATTCCTGCCCCTTTTCATTTATAAATAGCTCAATTTAACTCAGACAGCCTACAAATATCTTCAGAATGTGTCCTCTGCTTAGCCACTGGACAGTATTGTACATAAGTTAGTCATTACAATGTTCCTGAACCTCAAGAAGTGCCTGAAACTATCAAAAATCAAGAGCATGAGCCATGATGTAATTCACCATTTTTGTGAATCTTTAAGGTCATCATTTAATTTCTTAGCTACTTCCCCTGACACAAAGAGCTTCTTGAGGTATAACATAATGAAAACTGAATGAATATATGTTTTGTTTCTTTAACAAAGAAATTTGAAACCAGATGTTGCTGTAACCATGCAAGGTGCCCCATCAGTAGTGATTAAAACCATTTTTTTCTGGTCTTATGTCTTGTGAGAAAAAAAAAACTTTCAGAGCATTACAGATATCTATCTCTGTGACTTTCCAGTCAGAGATACCAGATTCCAGTCAGAGATGCCAGTTCTTCTCTCATGGTGTCTCCAATAGCATAATGTAAAATTACTGCTTGCTTTGCTTGGTTATTTGTATCTATGCTTTCATCTAAGCACATGTAAGTAGCAAGATGCTTTTTGTAAATCATTGGTGAGCGGCTGACTAACATTACTTGCCGTCTGCGAGACTTAATGTCTAATAGGATTTCTGCTACGTGACATCTCAAAGGTGTATTCTGTAAGCTTTTCCTTTCTTGGAATATCATGATAAGGGAATTACTCTGAGATAATATGTCCATTTTGATACAATTCCCTCAGTCAGGGGTTTACCATGTTTTGCTATACACAGGGAAATTTGAAAGCTGGCAGCTGGCAGATGATTTGTTTTAGAATGATACTTATAAAAACAAAGACACTTAGGAATGGTATTTCCTCCACTTCCTTTTAAGAAATTCTTTTAGTTTCACCAAGTTCAGCAGTACTTTTGTGTTTGGCGTCAGTGCCATCTAATACTCGATGTGTGATATGCAACACTTTTCCTTCAGAATACATAATGCTGTCAATCATTGTATTCAATCATTCCGAATGACTCTGGTCGGGCCTCTTTGAATGATCTTCCACTGTCTTTTCTCAGTTTAGGGGTTTTTTGTTTGGTTTTGTTTGCTGTTGTCAGTTTTTGTCAGTCAGGGCTTAAGAGTCTGAAAAAACACAAAATTAAAAAAAAAAACAGTACAAACCTATCCCTATAATAAAAGTAGCTAACACTAAATAATTGATGTTCTCTGAATCAACAGTCTACAGCAGTGATTCTCAGCTGCTGTTTTTCTAGTTTGCTGACCACCAGCACATAGGTGCAATGTTCCACTGACCACCAGCTTTTGGCCTGCTGTGAAAAGATATTTGAGTGCATTTCCCACCATGTAGGGGTTTCTGCTAAAATCACAGCCAGTCCAAGCAAATGTATATAAGCCTTGCTCTTGTTTTCATAAATTCTTAGCAAATAACGAAATATGATGTTGAAGATTCAAATATGCCACAGGCCCAGCCAAACACCAATACATGTTCTCGCAGTTATGAATACATATCACTAATGAATTTAAGTCAAACTGAAGGTTGAAGCTTTCTCTAAGGACTTCCTTAAGGGAATGATTCTTGAGTCAAAATCTGATGATGTGAGCGAGAAGGAGAAAAAAATCAATTGAAAAGTTTCTCATATAAGAATAACATGATGAAGAGCTCTTACAAAGAAAATTATTGCAATGTTGATGTGAATAACAGGAAAATGTAACATAAGGTATAGGGAATAAGAGGAGAATGTGTAAGCTGAGGCTGCAGACGTAGAGATGAGCAGGTACTTGGATACCTGGTATTTGGTCTTTATCCCAAGTGTTGCATAATCGTGGAAGGATATTACTCAAGGACATGATATAATGTACCATCCTGTTACCTAGACCTCTGTTAGGTAGTATTCCCTAACTCTATTCCAGTAGAGTTCATTATGTGTAATGGTGACCTTAAGCTATCCTCAAGTCCTAAAATGTCTTTGGTATGATCCAGAAAGTGACATTCATATTGGACACAATTCTGTGTTTAGTTTATCTTTGCGGTATGGCCCTTTTAATTTTGGTCATCTAAAGGTTATATACGAAGCCACGGAATAAGCAGGTAGAGTTCAGTTCACTTCATTCCTTTCACATTTCTGGCAAAGATGGCTGCGTTCTTGTTTGTGTGGGGAAGATAGCTGTGGTCATGTTCATCACCTGATAGGGGGTTCATGAATGGAAGCAAAATTCTGCCAAACTGAATTGTTCACAGACAGAAACTTTGGTGAACTAACATATCAGTGTGATAATCAGGTAGAATGTATGTAACATAAAATATTATGAACATGTTGAAGGATATGAAAAAGCTTAAGCAAAGATATTTTGTCTTAAAGTTTTCTTTCAAAAAGAAATGTAAGCTATGATTGAGACAAAAATTAAAATAGTGATAAAAGTTCAATGTTACATGTATATTGGAGGCATAACAGTTAACTAGAATACCAGATTAACTACATTCTCCAGACATGTTGTATAACAATAAAATATTTTCAGAACTATGATCCTTATAATCTTGAGGGGGATAAAATTAATTCAAATTCAATGTTGACTAGACCTGGGTGACACCAAGCTTTCAAGTGGAAACTGAAAAAATTAGTTTGACATCTGGATAATTTGTCTATAAGACAGGGAACATTCAAGTGTACAAGAAGTACGTAGAAGATTGATGACAGTTTTTTGAGTTCTTTCTGATGTTTGATATCTCGTAAAGTGTCTGGAGGTAAAAGGGATTGTCTGATCATCATTAGAACTGTTTCTGTCTAAGACCAATACCCTGTCTTTGTACTCTAACCCAGGCTGTTTTATCTGTAGCCTCACTTTAATGGTGATCACTGAGAATTTGAATTCATAAAAACAAGGCCATTTTCCAAACCACCACCTTATAAAAATGAAAGAGAAGTGTTTGTGTCTATCATGCTCCTTCCATGTGAATAATCTGTGATTACATGTATTAAATTACCTCTGGCCCTCAATTATGCATGTTTTCCCTCCTCCCTTTGCCTTTCTTCCTATTTCCTTTATGGTAAAATGTGCCATATTGAATTGTGTAGATACTGTTGGCATCATTGTGCCTCTAAATAACTCTTCCAGTTACTGCATGTGAATATTTGGAAGGTCATGGGTTTGTTTTTCTTGTTCGCCCTTCATTTTTCCAACTCTTACTTAATCTTACATGTTGCTCTCATAGTGTTTACAAAATACTGTTTGAAACACCTTAAGGTTCAAGTACACCTCAATTTGAAAGTGGAAAAACATGAGGAAGGTCATGCTGTATATGTGAAGAGGGCTGAAGTGGAGAGAAGTGACGGATTCATAACGCTAATGAGTTATTGAAGCTATGGTGGGAAAGTAAGTCTTTATCAGGGAAAGGATGGATAGAAAAACACACTGGTAAGTTTAAGATTGTGGAAGATGTAAGGAAAGCTGCCTTGGTAATTAGAGTTTGAAATGTTAAATGAATGACTATATGAGGGATAAACAGCCAGATGAGAAGGCTCCGGAGTGGTCTGGCACTGTGGCTCAGTGGCCTGGAGACAGTACCTATTTTGTTCTGAGGACTGAAG